CACAGAAAGTCGTCTCTGTCAGTAAAGAGTATATAACAAGTATAAAGTGAAATAAATACCCTGTTACACCAGACTCTGAACAGAACTCAGATGACCCAGCTTTTAAACGCACCATGAACACACGAATCTGGGAGTTCTCTGAAAGTGTGAAATGTGCCTCAAAATCCTTCGTGCTCTCGTAACCTGATTACTGTATAGCTGTCATTTTGTCCATGAATTTAATGGTTTGTATTTATAGGATATGGAAGTAAATCTGTGTCGCTGGGATTTGAATTAAAAATGCCACTGAAATTTAAATGTTGTATGCTTGTACTTACTGTTTCAGTGTTAAAATATATTCAGAACACATTTTTGACCTAAAAAAATTTATTGTCATTATTTCTACACAGTTGAAATTTCATTTGTTACTTTCTCTTCAAGCTAAAAATTCACATTACTGATATAATACTTATTTTTCAGTTTAATTTATGTTTAGTAATGATTTTTTAGCTGGAAGAGAAAATAACAAATTAAATTTCAACTGTGTAGAAATAATGACAATGAATTTTTTTAGGTCAAAAATGTGTTCTGAATTTTTTTAACACTGAAACAGTAAGTACAAACATACAACATTTAAATTTCAGTGGCATTTTTAATTCAAATCCCAGCAACACAGATTTACTTCCATAATAGGAACCTTACTGAATTCGTAAATATCAGATTTGTGTATTTTTATTTCGCACTCATAATTCTTTATATTTGTTTTTGAACATGTTTCTCATATCTGCTGTTGTGGTAAATACCTTTTATTCTTTATTTGTTTAAACTTTATTGCCTTAAACACAGATTGACAGGCAAATAGTATCACAAAGAGGAACAGAGAAAAAACAGAAAGAGAGAAAAAAAACTAAGTAAAAATAATAATAATAGTTAGGTCTAATCTGATAGACAAGAGCAGTACTGTAAAGGATATAGCACATATCTTATCTAGGTCTGTACTCTAGAAAAGGATATTTTAGATTCAGAAAAAGCCATAATAATAATAAAAGTAGTGATTGTATTTATACAGTATTTGTATAAGATACCTAAGCAAGATAAGCAATATATAGGTCTATCTTCCCATAAATACAGATACTTTCAGCTGTAATTGGGCAGTCATATATACAATCATGTTGTAAAATTCCGCTTGATTAAAAGCAGAACTCACAATATACTCAAGGGGAATTCTGTCGCAGGAATCATGTAAAATATGTTACATTATTAATTTGATACGAAAGTAAAAATATCCAACCACTTGGTAAGAATTTTGTTGATATTTAGTAGCAATGGTTTATTAAAAAAATACAAATAAAAAATAAAAATCACAATCCTACACAGAATCAAAAGTTCATTCAATAGTAATTCGGTATAAACAGATCATTAACCAAAAATCCTTCATAACCAGTTTATAAGTCATACTCAGAACACTCAATTTATATCAGCAAAAAAGCCCTAAAAGCTGAAAGTCCAGAACTGCCCATTCTTTTTATTTTTAATAATAATGTCCACAAAGGAGTTCCATATCCTCTGAACTCAAAACAAAGTTCTGGAAGTGTTCAAGTCCAAAGTAATGTTCCAAAATGAAAAATCCAAACTTCAAACCCCCCAAAAAAAGATAAGATAAAAGAGGCACCACCAAAAATCCCAAAAGGAAAAATAAAGTCCAGATCTCACGGGGAGCGTCTTTCTTTCCCCTCAGCGGCGTCTTCTTGCACCGGGCGGAGTGCTCTGGGTGCAAACTCCGATCAGTTTCTAAATTCCTGTTCTGCGGCGCTGGGAAGAACTTTGATTGCTGTTTTATCTTTGTTTTTTTATTTTTATTTCATTTCTACCATTTTTAACTAGTTTTAACATACAACCAAAGCAAAAACTCCCTCTGACAGTGCGCGTCATCCTCTCCGGTCCAGCCGCGCGCGCTGACGCACACGCCCCTTTTTATTAACAGCTGTTCTCCACACCAAAAACAAAACTGCATTTTAATGCCCAGCGTCAGTTTAAACCAGAGGAGATTCGAAATAATATTACCAATAAAACAATAGCTGTTCTATCAAACAGTTTGTTATCTGTACACTTATGCAAGAAAAGAAAATAACGTGTTACAATGTAAACACGTTTTACTTTCTGTATCAATTCAATTTTTTCTTACATGCATTTATTAAACCTACACAAATTCAATTAAGTAATAAAATGTAATTATACATCATAAAATGGCCAGTCCATCCCAGCACTGGTAGAAAATGCGCTATTTGGGATCAGATCTCTACTGCGCGCAGGAGGATAAACAATGAGGAAACAGAAAGTGCGCTTTTTATAGAAGGAAGCGGTGAAAGGATTATTCTAGGTTAATACTGCAAATGTTAAAAACATTGCAAACTTACCCTTTGTGATTAAATATAAGTACCAATTTAACTGTGTGACGAAATTAGAAATCTGCGTAAACCAATCAGCTTTTTAAAAAATTTTAACACCTTTTATTTATCCACTCTGGGTCTGAATATTTTCAAATACACCTTAAAGATTTAAGGGCAATGCACAGAAGCCCCTTCACCTCTGAAATGCAGCACTGTCAGCTTTAACAGTCAGTAGAGAAATTTGTTAATCAGTCTTTTAATTAACTCTGCATTTTAATCGTCATTAAAGAAAAGTGAAGATCAGAACTCACCTTCCAACCACTGAGCAGGTCTCTGAGTCTGCAGCTACAGCACCTTTCAAAAAGATGCCGTCTGGACATCTGGAGCTTTCTGCACTTCTTAATAATCTTAATTTTGGGGAAACCTCTGAGCATATGTCAAAGTCCGAGGGATGCTTATTCTTGGAGAAAATAATGACCGCAAAGACAAAAACAGTGAAAACCGCGATAAAACAGATGATGGGCTTCTTGACAATAAACCTTCGTGTCATGCTAGACAAAGATCCCTCCATGGCTTCAATGGCCTTCTGCTCTGAATGCAGCCCAGGTTCAGAAATCAAACTCCTGCATTAGTGATTAAGTACATCCGCTTTGACACAAGCTTCAAATGCTCACCTGGTTATACCAAAGGGGGCGGGGACAGGTGTGTCTTTTATCTTCTCAATAAAACTCTTAAAGTAAAAAGAAGAAAACAGTTCTAGAGTTACTACCGGGCACAAAAGTCCTTTTTTTTTCCACAATTATACATTGCTCAATATAAAACACAAACAAAACAAGTAATTACACTCCATGTCAAAAACTAAGGAATCCAGTCTTAGATCATTTTTAACCAAAACTTAGGGACTCAGGGCTTTACCCAGACCTTACAGCCAAGTGAGCAATTTGACATTTTAGGAATCTTGCTAAAACTGTCAGAGATTTTAAGTCAAAAAACAGACAATTGTTTCACCTAATGTATTGTGAAAATGTACAAAACATTGGAACTGTGTTATAAAACTGGGGGCTTCAATTAAAATTGGCATTGTTATATTTCATGAAAAATATAAATTCCATAATATCTTGCACAAAACTGTTAATAATTACATTTTTAAATATTAATTGAACGTTTATAGCAAAGTGGACTGATTGTAAATAACAATACATAGACTAAAATTTTTAAGCATCAACTATATACTCTCTAAAGTTCAACACTTGCTATGTATCATGAATTCAAAGCGGTCAATATAATCCCCTTTTAATGCTTTTGTAAATCTTACTAAAAACAATCTAATTATTTACCAGATCACAGTAATATACATCATGCCAAAAGAACTCATGCAACTATAGGTTGAAGTATTTGTTTTTCTAGCTCATTTTATGACTGATTTATTCATTTGAGCATTTTCCAGCATTTTTTTAATGTATTTATTTTTATTGTCATTACACTGTCACAAGTACAGTGCAACAAAATTGACTCCCTGCATTTAACCCATCCCCTTGGAGAGCAGTGGGCTGCCATTGCGCGGCGCCCAGGGAGCAGTGTGGGGTTAAGGGACTTTGCTCCGAGAGCAAGAGTGGCAGTCAATGGGAGCGGGGCTGTGGTTGACATGATGTAGAACAAATATGATACAAATAAAAATGAGACCTGCCTTTTCTCAAGTATGTCTTTACTACTGCTGTTCAAAAAATACTTATTTTCGAGAATAAAAAAAACTACTTTGAGTCATGTTTGAACTGATGCAGCTTATGCTGTGTTTTACTCACCCAATTTTCATTTATAATTTCATTAACACATGTAATATGGGCTTACAGTTCCTCAGTTATTTTGTTTTCCTTTTGGGTATGCAATATATGTGAAGATTACTTCAAATTGGGTAGGTGTTAAATGGCCACAAGTCAACAAAATGTCTATAATGTAGAATTGTATGCAGGATTTATTTACTTAAAAAAGCATCATCAATCAGAGATAGTTGCTGGTTAAGTAAATATAACTTTAAAATGGTATCTGTTACTTGTAAATTCTCCAACTGCTGTTAAATTAAATTCAATTGAAAAATATTTTATTAATCCTAAAAGAAAGTAAAATAATGTAAGCCAGCAGTGATACTGATGTCTGCAGGGAGGAAGGATCTCCTGAACTGGTCTGTCCCACAGTGGATCTTTTGTTGCTGTTCAACAGTCTCATGAGGAGGATGCAGGGGATGTTAATGGTGTTCTTCTTGGGAAATCATGTTCAGAAGATGTGGAGGACCGGCCAGAACAGAATCAGCCCTATTTATTAGATTGTTAAGCTTCTTTAGGTCATTTGTTCTGATGCAGTTACTATATGACTGTTGTCAACAATAACTGACATCTTCAACAAGTCATAAAAAGAATCCAGAACGAGTTACAATTACTTTTATTTTCCCACCTTCTTCTAGTCATCAGTGCCAGATTATTCTCGAGCCTGTGGTGAGAGTTTCTCTAGCGTACCTAAGTGTTACTGATTGCCTGATCTAGACCCGTTCTGCCTTTGGACCTCGCCTGTCCCTTTTCTGATCTGTTTGCCTAACCTGTCTTCGGACTCCTGCTGGATTCTGCCTACTGTATTTACCGAACTTGGAACGTACTCCTGACACGTTCTGGATTCCCCTTCGGAACCTCTTCGGACCTCTGATCTCCTGGTTCTGACCCCCGAGCATGTTGAATAATTAGAATAATGCTGTAATAAAGATTTGACCAAGTGTTTCAGTTTGGCCTGGGATTTCCGGTTGGCCTTCATTTCTACCATTCTTCAAGGAACAACAAGCTTAGCTGGGTTTGTTTTCCTTCTTTATAAGTTGTTTCTTCCCTTGTTTTTGAAACCACCCAAGCGTCACTCTCACTAGTCCTGCAGTCACACTATCGCTTATCGCCTAGACTAACTAGGTCACAGTAATTTATTCAGTTAGCAGCCCTCTAGATCAGAAAGCTATCACAGCTAAACATAAACAAACAGCTGCCTGGAAAAATGTACAGTTATAGATTTTTAAAAGTTGTATTTATCTGTCCTAAAGCAATTTCAGAGAAGCAAAAAACACGTGATTTAGTTTGCATGGTATTTTTTTAATATAAAATCTTCTATATTTCTTTCACTCAATACAAAGAGGTAAAAAGATGCTTTTTTGAGACTTCGGTTATAGATCTATGGTTTTGACATAACGATTTAGGTATAGTGTTAAAATTGTTTGCTAAAGGACAGACACAATACATGCTAGGAAAAATCGACTCAGTTGAGCTGAAAGATATTCTAACCACCTGTTAAGATAAAAGCTGCTTTGTTTACATTGTTCACATTTTCGCTGGAGTTAAAACCTGTTAAACCTGTTTCCATGACCTCTTTTGATAGCTCCCTAGTTTTCCCTAGTTTTCTAGTAATTCCTATTACTCCTTATTAAACCTGAACAATTATCTTCCAAAGAACATATCTTATAAAATTAAAATAAAGATACTAATAAAAAAAACAAAAGAAATTGGTTTATACAACCTATGATTTCAGTTCAACACCTATTTTAGAGACCTCCTGAAGCAATAATACATGATGTTTAATATAAACATGACATCACTTAGCTGTTGATGTAAAAAAGATTTTATTTTTATTAATTGTTTTTATGGTTGGAAAAAACTATCTCCTATTATTTCCCCTTTACATACTGATTTATGAGGTTTGAGTTTCATTCATTCAGTCCGCAGAGCTGCAAAGCTACAAGATTAGTTGTTTATCCTATTATGGAGCCTTCCTGTCTCCATTCTGATCTGTTTGCCTGACTTGTCTTCATATTCCTGTCGTGTTCCTTCCTGTCTGTAAACTGGACCTGGAACTGTTTCCCAACTGGATTTCCCCTTGGCACCTCTTCAGACCTCTGATATCCATGCTCTGACTACCGAGCATGTCTTTGACACCGGCTTTGGCTTCGACCTCTTGATTATCCTGCCTTTCTTCGTCTGCTTGGCTCAGCCTCTGGGCTCTGACTGAACTATAAGACCAGATTAGTGACTTACATGTTCATTATCATCCACCTCTAGATAGACGTGGTCAGTAACCTGTGGTCTCCTTCTGTAAAGGTTCCTGCCTTAGACGCCAATGCTGCTCACTGCAGTTCTGTTTCTAATCAACTGTTTCTAATAACTGTTTGTACGCCTTGAATACTGGTTCCTATTGTTCTGAGCTTGGCAATATGGATGAGAAGGGACAAAAAAAAATTGTATCTTGATGAAACATTAACATTTTTTAGCAACTGAGTATTTGATATTAGTTTCTGAATAAAAAAGAAGGTACAAGTGTCAGATAATGGTAACTTGGACTTACCAATCATTGACAGAGATTTCTAAATTGAAGAATGTCCCAGATCAATGTATGTCAAGGCTGAGAACAGAGGACAGAGTAGAAAGATAGAAAGATATCTCAAAAAGCATGTATTTAAAGTTACGGATCTGCAGTGAACAGCGAGGGCATCTAAGGCTGGAACCTAAAGTTCAGTCCGTGCCCAGAAGACGAGGTTGATTCCAGCCGGTCGGCTGCAAACAAGACGTGGCGAGCACCGCTGAGAGAGTCCTAGTCACTGATGTCTTGGAGGTTGGAGGAATGCTGGAGATCAGAACAGAGCAGGCAAAGGAAGGCAGGATTATCCAGGGGGCAAAGCCAAAGCCGGTGCCAAGGACAGGCTCGGGGGTCCGAACCAGGACATCAGAGATGCGAAGAGGTTCCGAAGGGAAAGCCAGAACGCTGTCAGGAATAAATTCCAAGTTCGGTTAACAGGCAGAATCCAGCAGTAGTCTGAAGATAGGATAGACAAAAAGGTCAGAACATTTTACCTATCAGAATCTTTTTCATGAAAAGATTTAACACCGTAGATTGTTTTATTCCCAGTACAGTAACACCTGACTCCTGCTAACATATCTGAACCGATCTTCTAATTGGCAAATCCCATGTTAAATAGTCATTGATATTATTGATCACATAAAAAGATTATATATATTTTTTTACAGTTGAAAGGGTGGGACTGTGGTAGGAAAAATGTATATCCTATTAATTCCCTTTAACATATATATTGATTCTTTAGTACTAACTTTTATTCATTCAGGCCTCAGAGCTGCAACACTACAAGATGTCTAAGGGTTAGGGGTTGTTTATCATATTAGTGAGTGTTTGGGATAAACATAATAATCTTCTAATAACAAGCTAGACTGGTTTCAGGGTTTTTATTCATAACATTATACTGTTTGTCCAGACTATCTGTACATGTTTTGAGTAACAGTATGTGGAGAACTTCACTGCCTTTTTGCAGAGTTGAAGTTGGTGAGAAACAAACTTTGTTGAGGCAGAGAAGAGCCGGACATCATGCCAACTTATTCTCTTTCTTTGCAAAGAAAAAAAATGCCTACTGAGTGAAATCCATAAATCCATCAAACTGTTCATGTTTCTTTACATAGTTGAATACCTTTTTCCCACAATAATTTTATAGATTACATTTTATAAATCACCAAAAAAAAGAACAGAAATAAAAACGTTTATCTTTTTAAATGATGTAATCTTTACAAAAAAAACTAATAATTACTCCACCAATGACATTCCATTTTTTTAATATTATAATGCAATGATGTATGTATTGAATTTGTGTTCCTTTCGTATTTACACACCTGTTGCAGTCTAAATGTCCCTATGTATAGACTTCTTCTTGTGTGGAATGTTATTACTTTAACTTAAAAAAATTACAGTCAAACAATATCTTTAGCAGGGGAGTGTCAGGATTTGGTTGTGGTTTGAGGACCTAAATGCAGAGGCAGGAAGGCAGAGGTGAGTTTCTTGTAGATTTAATGAAGGGTTAACATGCAACTAATGCGGGAATCCACAAATCCAAAAATGAAAAAAGTAAAACAAACCAGAAACCATGGAGACTTCAGGTGAAAACAATCACAACAAGGAAGACACAGTAAGACTGAGGAAGTTAGACAAGGAACCAGCACTGAGGAACTGCACATGGAGAGTATTTATGGCTAACTGAACAAAGAGAGGACTAACGAGCAGATTGGGAGCAGGTGTGAAGAGAGCAGTCTAAGGAGCTAGGGGAAAAGGAGACCACCACAAGAGGGCAACAGAGGGCAACAAATACAAACCTCAGAACTGAAATATAACAAGAAAACACAACAAAATAAAAATTAAACCAATAAAACTAGAAAACACGGAGCAAAGTGAATATTAAAACAAAAAACTTAACTGCTTATGTTTAGCTAGCACAGTCAAAAGAAACTAAACAAGTGCATTTTAATGTCATAGGAAAATCATATTTAAATGTCAAATTATTTTGGCTTAAACATGTTTATAAATGTCCTCCTTATGTGTGTGTGTGTGTGTGTGTGTGTGGGGGGGGGGTCGTTATTTTATTTAATTATGAATGTGTCTGAGTCACTAACCTGTTTTTATAACTTAGTCCATGCCCAGAGAACGAGATAGGATCCAGCCAGTGGGCTGCCAATAACATGCATCGGGCGCCTCCCAGATTGTCCAAGATGCCACGCTGCTGGAGGACAGAGAACAAGCAGGAGACCAGATCCAGGCAGACAAAGGGTGGCAGGATAATCCAGAGGGTGAAGCCAAAGCTGGTGTTGAGGACAATTCAATTCAATTCAATTCAGTTTATTTAT